GTATAGGGCTTTGGGTTTAGGGTTTAGGGTTTAGGGCTTAGTATAAGGTTCGGGGATGCCTGTTCTTTGTGCTGTTCTTATACTGCTGGAGGATGAGAACTGATAGCTGACTGAGTTTGTTCTATGGAATACTTACGTACCTCTCTATACTTAACATCTGGAGCACACCCCAAACCCTAAACCCCAAACCACCCAGAGCTCGGAATTTCTTGCGGTCCAGGGACTACCGAGCAGCTCTGCAGTGCGCCGAGCCTGCGATTTGGGGTTATATGAGCGGGCTTGTGGGCTCCATAGTGCTTTTCGCTTTCAGTACTTTTAGGATCTTGTAGGGTTTAGGGCTGAGAAGGTCACAGAGCAGATAAGGTTTACGAATTCAAGGTTTAGAAAGTTTGGCTTTGTTGGGTTCTGTCTAAAGGGTATAGGCATAGGGGCTTTATGCCTTTTGGGCATGCTTTCAACATCGATGGAGTTCTAGACCGTTCATTCGCCTGGCTTCGATTCTGTTTGGACACATATATCATGCTACTTTTCGTGACTTCATAAGGATGCCCTGGGGTGCGAGATGGTTCCGTAAGACTATTCCATCGGAGCATGGGGGTTTCAGATTGTAGGGCACGCTTCCCGTGCCGCTTTGTTGGCTTCTGAGGCACCTTTGGCAGCCTCCGCAGCTGTACGTATATGTATATAGTATGATTTTGGTGATATCTATGATATGACATATATGTATATATCTATACACATGTATATATGTGTGCATGCGTTCATGAAAAAAGCGTAGCTATTATCTGCCCAGCAAGTACAAAACTCGCACCAACAGGGTGTCGGAGTAAAATCGCGCCAATTACTCGAACACCAAACGCCAAAATCCTTGACGCATTGAAATTTTGAGCTTCAAGGAGCCCTGTAAAGCCCTCAAGCCAGCCAAAGCCTAATTCATCCCAAAACGTGACGCAACACATGGAGCTCGATCTGTGCAGTCCTTTGGTTAAACGTCCCCCTTGAGGGTGAAGTGATTGAACTCCGCGGCGTGAAGTGATTGAACCCCGCGGTGCTACAAGTTCGGACTAACCACAATTACAGAACACACGTTGAGCATCCAATCTCGGGCAGAAACAGATCGGAACTCTGGAAGCCCTGCCCAAAAACTGCCTTCAACACAAACTCTAGTGATAAACTGATAAGCCAACTCAACGCATAACAAGTTTCACCCGAACCTTGCTCAACGCCGTGGCCAACCCATCAAGCCACCAACGACACAACTTCGAAACCTTCTCAACACCTTCAGTAGCTCTATCAGGTCAGCATATAAAACGTGAGAGGATGGGCTTCGGAGCCATTCACTTCGGCATGCGAAAGCCGTCAACTGAAACTTTGAGCTTCGAAAGAAAGACATAAGACAGGATCGCCCTGGCCGACAAAAATAGGAGGCCTCCACTTCCGGCATCAGCTCCGTCAGCTTCATCCCCCGAAAGCCCGAAAGCTCGCGATTCCTCAACTTAGGGGCCAGCTTCGGCCATCTAGGGGTTTAGGGTTTGGGCGTGGGCTCTGTAGGGGTTTGCTGCGAAATTTACGCGACAATGTCGTGTCGAGTGCATCGTGCTGTGGCGACGAGCTGCCACAGCCTGTCTATTCTTTCTTCGCCACCCTACGCCGCATAAAGCCGCCAAGCCACCCAAACGGATGTTTTTAGTTTTGAAGCCTAAACTCGTGCCATCGCGCCAAAGCAAGGAGGGCAGGGCAGGGCAGGGCAGGCAGGCCTCCCCTCGAAGGCCCATTTTGCGGGGGGCGCCTTGCCCACCCAGAAGTACTGGTCCCGGGGAGAACGTGTTCCGGTACCGGGTACGAAGCCGATGCTGTAGGCGGGCACACATCTTTTCTATGTCTTCGACAACACCAGACGTGAAAATGCGGGCTTCCTTCGAGGCACTTCAGAGACTTCCTAGACTCTGAAGGCTGCATCCATGGAATCCAAGCGGCTGAAGCATAGCTGATAGCTCCTCTTCTGATGGCTTGCATGGTGCTGGGCAATTGGAGATACAAGACTGGGAGCCAGAGCTTGGGGGCTGGATTGAAGGCTTTCTCGTTTACGTTGGGGTTTACGGTTCAGGTTTTTGGGATTCTGGCCACTGCATCTCACAAGCTGAGACGTCCAGCTGAGTGAGCCGGCAAAGCGTTCCCGACAGAGTTGCACTGTAAGGGGCACATAGCATGTTCGGGGCGTGGCTTCATGATGTGCTTCGCCCGCTGCCTCTATGTACAGCTGTCTACAACCACATGAGGCGGAATATTGTACGTTAGCCGGCACAAAGGCAACAACCAGCCAAGAAACTGAACACCTATGTACTGAACAATCGACGTATGTCGTCATGGCTACGTGTTCTCAACCCTGCCTGCCGGGAAGGGAAGGTGTTCACAGATCGCGACTACATGCAGTCGAATGTATAAAAGAAGGAACTACTAAACCAAATACACACAAACACCCATGCAGTGTGCCTGTCTGTACCTAGTGCCAGGCTTTGAGCCTTTCAGCCTGAAGCCGGAAACCCTACACCCTCACTCTGCACAGCACTGAGCCCTCATCCGGGTCCGGCGAGCTCGATGTCAGGCAGAGATCTTCATCCTTGTTGCGATTGCTTTAGAGCAGGGTCGCAGAAAGCAATCTGCCCTCCCCATCCCCTCAACTTTCGGTCTGGTGCTGGAGCTGGTGGTGGTCGGAGGGCAGTAAAGGGAATCGGCCAGTAATGAGAACAAATCCTTGAAGGATCCGTCTCACTCCCGGTTGTGATCTCTTTACACGCAACCTCTAATTTGACATAGTCGTTGGCTTGCTTGGGTTGTAACCATTTGATTGGTCCTCTGGTGCTCAGTCCCATAGTCTTGCGCTGCCGTGCACTCTGCATCTCACTTGCCGGCACCGATGAGACTTGAGCAACCCTCACCATGTGGCGAAGCCTGTATAATCTAGGAGACTTAAATGCTTGCAATAAGCTTGGGGATTCCATCGTAGTAGTGTTGTCTACGGACTGTAAACGGAGCATGATCGTTAGTTTGTCCAACCTACAGATCTATGCTTCTGGAACTCCTCCATCCAAAACTGCAACCACAGCTTTTTGTTTTTAGTCTGGGAAACCCCAAGGTCACCTCAGCAGGTTTCGGAGCCGCGGTATGAAAGGCAACACTTTACGGTTTAGAGTTTATTTAGGGTTTTGCACCTAGATTTTTTTGAGCCTGTTCTGTCAGGCCGCGAACTTGAACGTAATGAGTCTTAGGCGTATAGTTCGGCTGGATACCCAAGCCTTACATGACGAAAGGACGCCGGAGCAGAAGAAAGACATCATACGAACTATATGGAACTCTTCGATTCATCATAATAGCTTACCTCGGAATGCAGCATCCTAATGCGCGCAGCAAGCTACCCAGATGTACCCCCGACTCCCTCATAAGCACGGAACTCTTGCTTCAACCCGAAACCCTGAAAGAGACCCAAAACAACTTGAGCTCTGAACCCCCCCAAGCCATAGACTTGCATGGTATTTACCCTAATTTCCGCTCGCAGCCGAGTCCTTGGTGTAAAACTTTCGGGAGCCCTTGCAGTATAAACGTCACCATCATGGTGACCCCTATGATGCAGTACGAGTAAAGCCCTTCTTAACTCTACAAGACCACTATGAAATCCTTCAAAACCCGACTGAAACCTTCCGAAAGCCACATGAAGCACCATAAAGCCATGTGAGTCCGCGATGCAACTTCATGAAACCCACATAACACATCCGGAGGTCCAGCTCCACCACGGCGTCACACATCAGCCGAAGAAGGGCTTGTGTCGCTCCTAATCAAGGGATGGGAAGTCTTGTTGTAAGATGGTATTTTGGTAGTGGATAGTGTCTCTTGTTTGTAGGGGTTTGGACTTCAGAAGGTGGTCTTCAAGGAACCATTTTGCCTGTTTAGTCGTTCGTTCTAGGGCCCTTTTTGGGGGTGGTGCTGTAGGGTTTGACGGTTCAGGGGGTCAGGCCGTAAGGCTTCGGGCTTGAGGATTTCGGGTTTAGGGCTTTGGCAACGTCGGTCTCAGCACTTGGGGGTACGTTTAACGCTCAGACTGAAGCTACGTGGCCTTGTTGCGGCTGCACCTGGAGCCCTGGGAGCTAGCCATACTTGAAGCCATGAGTTTAGGGCTTAGGGCTGATTCTTATGCCGTGCAACAAACCTGCGCTTTTGTTGCCAGGCCCGGTATCCTGGCCTTCTGAGTCCTATCACTGATCCGCGCACTTCTTGAACAGTCGCTAGCAACGCAGTAACCTAGGCAACAGGATAGAGTCTGTGGGCCTTGAGTACATACAAAACCCGCTGTCAGCAAACACAACAGCAAAGTATCATATCTTGTAGATAATCATGGACAGATCGACAAACCAGCCTAGAACGCATACGACCCGCCACCCTACAGCCTGACAGCACCGAAGTCCTTCAATCCTATTGCGGCAGAGTGTCCCAAGGCTGTTTCGGCATTTTTGCCCTGGATGACGATCTGCACCCGCCTGAATTTCGGCTCGGGGGGTCTGTGATGGCACGGATTTCGGGGTCCGGTCGTCCGGTGAGGTTTTGCACGCCGCGAGGCACATTGGCATTCTGCTTCCCCGACTGATCCGGGTACGGCTTGAGAATTGAAGTATGGTTTAAGCCCCAGTTGTATGGTCCAGCATTAGAGGAGTGTCTGTGGTGCAAACGATTGAAGCGGCCATTTCTGCTTGGCGTTTTTCGGCTTGACCGATGCGGGTGCGATTGTCGGGTTGGAGTGTAGTGATGGGCTGAGTAGCACTATCTTCATACTGTGTGACTTGAGTGTAGGTTATCTTGAGGGCTACCTACAAATCAAACAAAGCATGCTCCGGATGGAAACCTGCAAGCTGCGATTTGCTCAAGCGATGTCTCTTGATCCAGATTCATGATTCGCTGTGACCCATCAACCCAACCAGTCCTGAACTGGACTTCTTCAGTCTTTGCGTTTATGGGGTCTTGGTTTCACACCCTAAATGCTGCAACCCCAAGGGTAACAACGATGTTGGCAGGAAATTCAATGCCAGTCCAAGACACTGCGAAAGTGCTCCGTGCAGCGCGGAGACGAAAGATGCTGCGACCGCAGTTGCAGTCAGCTCCGTCCATAATACCTCCGCTTGGATGTATGGCTCTTCAAACTCCGAACTCCGAACCATAAGCCGCAGCCCCGCCTACAAGCCCTAAGCTACAGTTCCCGCAATCTCAAGGCCTCACTCGCCTAAACTGGTATTAGGGCTCACGAGGCCCACAGTCTGGATGCATTCATGGTTGTCAGCGTGCAGTGCATGCGTAGGGCATCTGAATCTCTCACATGGCATGAGGGCTCGGGATCCATATATCTATACATACATACGTACATACATACATACATATACACACACACACATGCACACACTACAAATACTGGACACATACACACATACACGCATACATGCATTTACATGTACATTTACATTTACATACATACATACGTACGTCCATACATACATACATGCATAACCTAATATTGCAATGCACACATGCATGCATGCGTACATGCACACAGACAGACGGACGGACGGACAGACAAACACACACGTATATATATATATATATATATACATATTTAATTGATAGGGATATGAAATGATATAAACATACACACCCACGCATTACGCACTATGTAATGAGTATGCACTCCACACGCGCTATATACTATATACTGTATAATCTACACCAACTCCTAAACCGTGTTGGTCCTTGAGCTTTTCGGGTTTTGGAGTGCGACCGTGTCGCTGTGTTCAAGTTGCTGAACCCAGCTTGCTCCTCCGTAACGGATCTGTAGCTCATGACACCGACCTCGGAGGCAAGGGTACGGTTCAGGGTTTGGGGTTCAAGCCCCTCTTGGTCACAAGCGGGTGAACAAAAGTAGAAGGATGCTCCAGGTGAGCTAGGCGATGGCTGCAACGGTTGTAAGGAAATCCTAGCTGTTCTGGTACCGTCACTTGAAACTTCTGCAGCGGCGAATCTCGAAAGCCCCTAGGCCATCAATCCCAAGAGCTCAGGAGATTCAGTCGGAACTCTGGTTCGCGGTTTGGGGACTGCTCGGAGTTCGGATTTTGGGTTTGGAGCTGTTGCACACATGACCGTCTGTCGTCTTGCAAAGTAGAACCAGCGATGGTCCCCAAGACAACAAGCAACAGCAAGAATGAAGGACGCGGCTCCAAAGTTGACCCCAACTCCCAAAACCCCACACTCCAAATAAGCTTCTAGGGCCTAGAGACGTTAGTTTATGTCACAAGATTTAAACATCTCTCCACTCCCCCTTTCCCCCCCGAGGCCTCTATATCGTCTCCAAGAGGAATGCCACAAGCCCCTACAGCCTTAAGGCCCTAACTCCAGGGGCTTCTTCCTATAGCTTCGAGTCTATGATCACAGCTCCCACACACACACATATATATATATATATATATATATATATATATATATATATATATGCAAGAATTGGGCTAGGGGCTTTGGGTCAGTGCTGTGGGCACACGGGTCTGCAGTCCGAGCCCTTCACCCTCCCCTGCAGTGCCCAGGTGCAAAAGGCAAGTTGAAGAGAATCGCCAGAGAGGTCCGGGTGCATAGAAGGCTACCTGGGCAGCCCAAGGAAGGGCCAGGCGGAGAACGATACCGTGCTGCTGAGTATGAGTCTACATCCCAAACTGGATGGCTTGCTGCCCAGCTCTTGCCCATGGCAGGCGGCTTAGTCTCAAATCCAACAACTTAGGCTTCGGAAGTCCGATTAGCCTTGAACTGAAAGAACCCCGCGAACTTCTCATGTAGCCTTGAGGTGTTAGCAACCTCAAGTTTTCTGTGCAGCGAGTCTTGACCCAGCTCTGCGCCGAGTTAGATTTTGCAGCCGTAAAGGTTTTGTTGTGTAAGCATAATGCTTAAGCACACGGCGAAGCGTCTATGCTAGTGACCTGGTCACCACCGTCCTCGGGTCGTCATGGGCAGTTGGTAACGTTATCGTTGTCTATCGCTTTGCAATGGCCTTTTAAAACTCCAACACCCTTCATCCGAGGCACTCCAGAACCCTTACAGGAACCCGTATAAGTGGCCCCTAACGATCTGAATTTGGCACTGCCAGACTCCGCGTCTTGCACTCTCGCGGATCTCGATTTTAGGCTTTAGAGCAAGTTCAAGACTATGGGCTGTGTCAAACGTAGAATAACGGGGCTCAGGGCTTTCGAAAGTCTACATCCTAAATTCTTTCGGAAACGCTGCGTTTCGTAGCTTTCAGATTTAGGGTTTAAGCGCTTAAGCGGGGTCTAGGATGTTGTCTTCGTAAGCCGTTGAGATCCAGGGCTTCCGGCGGTTCTAAACTAAGTTTCCGAGATTTTGGGTTGGGGGTTGAGAGTTTTTTGTTGAGTGTTAGTCTTGGCGAAGCCAGCCTGCCTTTGCAAGCACACTAGAGCTTAAGGGTTAAGGATTTGGTGCTTGGGATTTTTCAAAGAATGCCTGAAGTACAAAAGTGAGTTTTCGGGGTGGAGGCAACCCCAAACCGCCCTCAAGAGGGGGCTCCCTTGCTCTCTGCTTATCTCCAGAAACATCTCGCAGCAGCCGTTGGTGCCAATCATGCCGCCCACTCAGCACAAGCATTGGGGAACGAACATTTTTTGAATGCCAAACTGCTAAACATATATGTTTAGTCCCCACCCTTCGCACCCTCTGCTGGTCGCTCCAAGCCTCCAAAAATTGAGCCCTTGGCGGGCCTTGCAACCTCTAAGAGTTCAGGGTTCCTGGAAAGCCTCCCCTCTCATGTGTGAGGAGAACCATATCAGAGTTAACATTGGGGCCTTATAAGAACTAGAATAGGCTCTTCGGGTACGTGATAGTACAATCAGGAGCCCCCTACACACCATTGGTCTATATTATATACCAGGGCAGCCTAGGGCTCGGGCTCTTTGGGTATCGAAACCGCTGCAGTAGGGCCTGGGTTTATGTGCGGCAGTCCAGACTTAGTGGGCTTAGTTAGTTCTGACTCCAGGTTCAGAAACGTCCTGAGGCTGAGGTGACCACAACTCGATTTGAGGCCACGCAAGTCTAGAAAGCTGCAGACTGAAGGCTTTCAGACGTAGATCTCCTTGCGCCAGGGCACATGGGAGTCGGAAGAACAGCAATACGATGAAGGAAAAGGCGTAGACTTGCCTCTGGCAAGGGCGTCTATGGAGTCAGCAGAGATGATATGTGAAACTCATGCCTAGCAATTCCTTAATGTTGAATTGCACATCCATCTTTAACCCAAGGCATGCCCAAGCCCAAGACCCTGCAGAGCCCGAACGGCCTGGGGCTAAGACTTGAGATTGAGGGTCTGAGGGTTAGGCCTTGCTGCAGGGTTTGCGATGGGGGTGTGGAGTTTGCTTCCGGGTCAAAGTCAAGAAGGGAGTACGAATACCGAGCACGGCAGTGGAGGAACACCGACAGCTAAGCAGTGTACTGTCACGCTGTAAGGACCGCTCAGGCCCAGGCAGTCGCAGGGGAAATGACGCGCTACAACAGACCTCAAGCCTGAACCTTGCATGTAAAACACAGACACCCCATGAGCCTCAAGCTGATGAACCCTCCTTTCCAAGACGCCCAACTGCTGCCAAGCAGCTCGGTCGGTGTGAACATGGGCGTAACGTACAGTACTGCGAAGACCATGTACACACCATACCTTGCAGGATGTCAGCAGCACCCATGCAAACACAGCAGCGCAAGCAATACGGCAATACGGCGCATCAAAGATATGAGTATGGGTCTAACTAAGTCTTATCGTCCCGGTTAGTCCTACTCCAAGTCCCTGTCGTCCTCTTGTCCTCTGATCCCTAGCCCGACAGCCTAGACGAAGCCCTCGTCCTCTCCTCCGGTCCTCGTGACACTCTGCAGATTCCCTACAAGCCATAACTTCGCCGAGGCACCATAAACCCAACGTGCTGGGGCGCAGCAACCACGGGAAGCAGGAAACCAGCGTGCCCACGGCAAACATAGCGACGTTGCACCAGGTAGCCTGGGCTTCAGAACTTCAGGGTTCTGTGGGCCTTTGCCTAAGGTCTAAGCAGTTTAGGGCTTCGGGTACATGCTGAGCCCCAAGCTCAGCCGCTCAGCGCTTCGGGCTTGACTTCAGGCGCCAGGGGGGCCCCGGCTGGCCGCAGCGTCGTTATGGTTCATGGCATGAAAACCCCTAAAATTTATATCGCGTGTGGGAGTGTGGCGATCTATCATGGCTGTCCGCGAGGGCTGTGTTTTGGCGAAGCGCAGCAACGCTCGGTCGTTGCTATGGCTTTGTCTTCCTTTCAAGCAGCAATGCAGAATTCCATTCCTGTGTCTGCGAAGTGTCAGGTGGGTAGTCCTGCTACAGCTGTTGAAGAGGTGCGTTTCAGTGCTGTTTGTAAGGCGTCTGCAAGCTCCACACTTCGCAGAGCTCTCGGCTTTGAGTGCAGAGTCTATAAGCCGAGGTTCCACATGTTCTTGAAGGCGTCGAGAGTCAAAACCCTTCGACTTGTAGTGTAAGAAACATGTCAATTCCTCAACCCCACACGCCATAACCTCGCCTCAAGCCCTCTCGCCTCAAACCCCGGAACTCTACCTGAGCCGCAAGCCGGCCTAAACCTTCTCAATGCATCTTGTAGCAGAACCCTCCACGGACCAACACAATCCTAGCTACGACCCACGGCCTACCGACTAGTCACAGCTACAACGCCCAACTCTAACTAAATCAAGCGACCGCTGATGACATCCATCTCTCACCGCCCATAAAGATGCGTTGCTGTATGGACAGCACAGTGGAGAAGCTAAGAGCGGCGAAGGCCATCACATACCTCCAAGTTGCACGGTGTGAGGGCTTTCGCACATGTGCGGATAGTAGCTGAAACTAATGAACCCGTGATGAGCCTTTACGGCTGGTCAGTGATGGTGCGTCCTCGAAAGTATCGAACCCGAACGTCTTTGCAGTCTTCAGTTACATAGGAACCCTGGGTCCAAGCCACTGAGTGCTTTCCTGATTTTTCTCACTTCGAAGGACCTCTTCGACAACCAGACAGAGTCTAGCCCGAAAATTGAAAAGCTAATTTAGCCCAAACCTAGGTGGGATGGAGCCACCGTTTGCTTAGGCCTGCATGGCCCTTTAGGATTTCTAGGTTTGGCGCTACGGGCCGGCTCAGGTTTAGTTCGGCTACACCCGAACAGTACATTATGTTAACTTCAAGCACGCCAAACTCTGTTTAAACTCTTCAATACACCATGCTAATTTGCACTTGAAGCCCGTAGCCCTCCACTCTGCCTTCTGGACCAGGAAGTCTTCAGCTTTTTGACTTCAGACTCGATAAGCAGCTCCTGATAGCGACCCCTGAGAGTTCGGTTCTATGCAAATTGGGGTCTTGGGTATCATGGGCTCGTGATGATGGAGTTCCTTCATTAGGAGCGGGGGCATGCAATTTCAATGTGTTTTGAAAGTACACTTCCACATAGCACATCATCCAGGAGCTAAAGGCTTTGGGGCTTTGGGGTACTTTCGAGTGTACTACTTCTGCTACGGAACGCTAGACGATTGCTAGTACTTGAATATTCGACCTCTATGCAGATTCGGGTTTAGGGCTTAGGGTTCCTAAGCCCCAAACCCTGAACCCGAAATTAGGATCCCTGAACCTCTAACCCAAAACCTAAAACTCTCAAAACCCTGAGAAACGCTCCTGTGCTGTAGGAGCCTTTTTCGGCCGGGTGAGTGCCCGAAGAGCCCGGCAGGGCCTGGGATGACTCGGAAGGTTTTCGCGCGGAGGGTTTCAAGGCTTGTAAGGTTGATGGATTTAAGGTTTAGGGTTCAGGAGTCTCGGGATTTAGGGTAGCTATATCATGAGGGTTCAACTCTACAGGGCCTAGCTTCGGGAAGACAAGGGGTTTTCGGGGATCCAGGCTGCAGAGGATCAAGTTTGTCCTTGCAGCACTTTTGAAAGCTCAGGCTTCGCACTGATGTTCGGAGCTGCTCCACCTTGACCGCTCACTCCTTCTCATAGAACCCATGACCTACTTGCTATGCTCTGACTCTAGATCTCGTTATAGAAACCATAGGGGCCCTACACATCGCGGGTGCTGTTTAATACGAGCCAGCGCTGGGTCTAAGTCCAGGACGTGTTGACCCAGGACAACAACCACTGTACAGAACGAATCGAGGCGCAGAAGGCTACGAAAGCCGTGGAACCTGTCGACGTATGCTCTCAGGGACATGTCAAACTCGTGATGGACATGATTTAATGTCACACACCCCTATTGCAACCATGCACAGATACCATGCTTGAGGCAGGTGCGTTTTAGATAAGGAGTAGGTGTATGCAGTACCTTGATGTCAACGGAACCGTAGTTCGGCACGGACCGCATGAACCGCTCTCGCGAGTCCGGTCGGAAAATGCTCACCGCACAACCAGCTAACAACTAGTCTTGATCGCGGAGATTCTGTAAGCAACTGCTGACATGCCGCTAAGAACAAACCCTGGAACCACAAATACAATACTGATTCCAGGGATCTAGGGCATAGGGGTATGGAGGATAGGTGTATGGGGATGTGTGTTGTATGGGGAACTGGGCATAGGATTATGGACTTGTGGTGCATAGGGTGTAACGTGCTCCCCCATACCTTCCCTGGCTGGCCCCGCGAACCCTAAAATTTCGCTATCAGTTGACCGAGGCGGGGTCGCGTATGAGAATTATGAGCCAAGCCCGAAACCTGTCAACCGCAGCCGAGAGTCCAAAGGATGCAATGCCGAAGTGCATCACGGAGGTTCTTCAGGGTGGACTTTTCTTGAAGATTGACACCGCGAAGGTTTGAGGAAAGGGAGAATGGGCGAAGGGCGCTTGGTGGTCGACTCAACACTGGATGATTTTGATATTACCGCATTTGACTTTAGGGTTTAACACAATGTATGCATGCATGGATGTATGTATGTATGTGTGTTTGTTCGTTTGTGTGTGCATATGTGCGTGTGCGTGTGTGTGTGTGTGTGTGTGTCACTCCTTTCATCTGTTCTGTGCAGGCGGATGGGGGTAGGGTAGGAAGTCCACGAAGCTGCCCGTACCTGCATCTGCTCCTGGGCCGCGTCGTGGGGAGCTGCAGGGGGCATACGCCTTCACCCTGCATCTCATTTTCGTGCTTTGGTACCAAAATGATGTTCTCACTTGCGTTGCCATCATCATTCACATCATTTCCTATCATGCAATGTCAAATATGTGTTCAGTCACCATTGCGTGCGTGTGTGTGTGTGTGTGTGTATTTGTATGTGTGTGTGTGTGAGTGTGAAGGGCTTGCATGTATGCACCATGCATACATACGTGAATGCAGGCATGAATGTATGCAGACATGTATGATCATGTGTGCATATATGTATAAATGCGCGTATGAAAGTAGGAAATAATGTAGGTGCGACATGTACTGTTGTGCATGTGTACATGGTGCGACGTGCCACCAAGCCCTATGTCACACGCTGTTTCAGCCCATGGTTGAAGCTCTACAGTGACTCTGCACATGACTAAATACTTTATCCATCTTACCCTTTCGCACACGAGCAGGCCCTGGTACTGACCCTGGCCACCATGCCTTGGCCCGCGTGCATGCAATAAACAGCAGCCGCGCCAGAAAAACCGCCTCGAGTGTGAAGGAGACGACGAAGAAGGCCAAGGTCTCCATCTTCAAATAGTCCGAAACAAGGAGCACTAAACCCCAACCGAGACAGATTTCGCAGAATTCTCAAGCACCAGCTCATGCAGATGCAGGACTTAGAACTGGGGCTGTGACTAGGGCTGCACCCCAATGGGACCCGGCCGTCCATCAGCCACACTATCACTAAAACGCTATTCAGCTCTGAGCCGACAAAAGGCCCGAAATACGTACTGGCCACATGCAGGATCATGATCCCGACAGCGATCATGATGATGATGATGATGATGATGACGACTATGATGGTCATCGCCGCCACCATCATCGTCGTCATCACCATCAAGATCATTATCACCGCCATGGTCCTCAGCACCACCATGCTCATCGAAGGTGTATAAGAACTAACAGCCTCGTCATGCCGAATCCTCTTCTTATTCCGACAGTTACTGCTGTTGTACTCCTCCTCTCAAGGCCAATATCAAAACACAACTTAGATCCTCATTGACCCTCAACGTTTAGCAATTACCAATCGCCAAACAGTATGCCCGACTTTGCGGCAAAATCAATACCAGGCCAAAACCAGGCTCGATAATAGTACTCATAACAATGGTAAGACCGGCGTCGGTACTAGATTACAATCACAGAAGCAGAAGTCAGGACACTGAGCTCCATCATTGTTGCTAGTTGCATCATCTGCTGCGCATGAGACCTGCTGCAATTCTTTCTCCGGAGCAGGGCAGGCCGTCTGTACACGGCCCTGTGCGAAAGCCATGTGCTGCGTCCGAGAGTATCGCCTTTACAAGGTCGAGGCCTTAGGCTCAGGATTCAGGTTACGGAAGAACCTCATACACGAACAGGATGACGAGAGCGATGAAGAGCGCAAGCACCTGGGTCGACCCCAAGCCCTTATAGTCCAGCCCATCAGAGGTTTGAGACTTGGAGCATAATCGAGACCCTATACACAAATCAGCTTGATGATCAAGGACTACATGTCACTCAATGCTCCACGCACGAATTACCCCGGTCCAAGTAAGTCTCCAGACTCTACTCAACCTCAAACACCATGTGACATAGCATGCAAGCAATCTGGGTTTAGAACTAGGGTGCGATGGTTTCGACTATAGAAACTTAGATTATTGTTGCAATGGGTTTATTGCTTGGAAACCTAGGCTAAGGTTGCACTGGGCTCTGTGGCTGCGGGGAAGCGAACGCAAGGAAAGCTGATATCAGCTGTAAACCCTAAGCCATCTAAAACATTAACCATCCTATGCCCAAAAAGAAAGCCATGCTATGCAAAAAAGCACACCCAAAACACTTCTGGTGTGGCGGTGAAGATGAAGATTCATTTAACATCTCCAATGCCACCACCTAAACCAGCAATCTTAAAGCCTCAGCAACAAGCAACATCTACACAACTGTACCATGGAGCTGCGGACTTGAAGACCACATGCAATGTAGTTTTTTCTGCAAAAACGCAATTAACATACATGTATGCCTACCATCACATGTACATAAGCTATGTACACATATTTTGTCTATGGGCACATGTTTAAACGTCGCGCGAGGCCAAGCAGCAGAGATACCCAGCCAGCGATTTCGATCCAGAGTCTGGAAGCGAGTGAGCATCCTGGAGAGGTTGTGAAGAGCCCGTCGTCAGGGCCCTTTTACCCCCGAAACTCTGGAGACGCGATGTGGAGGGCTCGAGGTTTGGTGGCTTTAGTTAGGACTTCAGCATTTTCCCTAGACCCTAAACCCTAAACCCTGCCCCGTACAGGTCTTCGGGTTGTGCTGCTTCAGCTTCGGGTACCTTCATCCCTGATCTAGGAACCTGAAGCCCTGGATGGTTTGTACCTGTAGGGTCTTGTCCACATGAATCCTAATTTACGTGGGTTCACCAGGTTCCTACACTAGGATACCCAGTAACCTAAGAACAAAAAGGCCTCTCTTTTTGGCATTGGGTAACTTTATAAGGAGCCTAGGACTACAAAATGGGAATAAGGGTACTACTGGGCATCCTAGTACATTAAACCCAACAGTAAGCAGATGCAGCTTCTCGCGCCTCTCTCCTTTTGGCAATTGTGCTCATTCCTGGTCGCTTCCTGGGGTTTTCCTCTGCCTTACGCCTGTAGCAGGAACATTGAGGAATTCCAACTCCGAAGCCAAGCCGCGGCGAAACGCGAGGAGAAGAAACAATCTGAAAGCTTAGGGTTTTCACTGTAACCGATCCTGTTTTCAGATTACAGGATTTAGAGTTTTTGACATTCTGGACCGCCGCATCAGGAACCCAAACGAGGTGAGCTTCTTTTCGTGGGAGTGTTCATCAAAGGTGAACCCCTTACCTTTCGAAACCACAATCTGCCAAAGTTCAAAAGCGAATGTCCAGGTCCCAGTTGCTAAGCTCCCTGACCCAAGGTATCCAATTCTCCGTGAGAACAAGAAACCAGAAAACACTCTTGGCTTCCTGTTTCATGCCCCTATAAACTGTAGTACCCGAGCTACGAAGACATTGATGGCCCAGCCCCTTCCCTGCACTGGGCTCAGGACGACCGCGCGCGCCCCAAGCGAGCGGAGGTGCGGTCGGTCGTCTAGCAGAAAGTGTACAAAAACATAGAACCGGGTTTAATGTTTAAGGTCTAGGGTTTAGGATAGTGTAGGGGCCTGAATAATTAGGATGGGGTTTTGGGGTCTATTATACTGCAATTGCAATAAGGAGCCCCAACATAGCATTGATAATTACCAAGGCCCCTACATTATTCGAACCCCTAGTAAACGTGTCCTATAAATTGTGCGGGGAAAGATATGGAGAAAAAAATCTGGGCATCCGGGACTTAGGGTTCAGGCGGTTAAGAAGCAATTGGGGTTAAGGAGTTTAGGGCTGCAAGCATTGGATGTAGGGTAGAGGCGGCAGATACTTACAACAAGATGATGTGCTCCATATGTAGCGTAGCATGGCAGAAGCACTCAGTAGAAAAGCAGATGTAGTACGGGGATATGACGCGCAGCTGGACTGCGCAGGGTCTGAGGCCTGCAGTAGGTGTCACGTAGGGTTTCAGGCAGTTCAGACGCCCAAGGCCGGGATGTCTACAGATGTTTCCAAAAACGTAAACAGTAGCTCCAGTTTCTGCACAGTGCACATGCGGTTTGTTGAGGACTCTAAAGCAGGTATTCATTCGTCGCGATGTTCAATAGGTGCCACGCTGGTCGACTGGGCTTACATAGCCCCACTTTTCAGAACCGAAGATACGAGTGGGACTTTGGCAGCTCTGATGCAGAAGTGGACCGAGGTTTCGTGTTCTAATTTCGGGTTCAGGGAACTCTAGACTCTATACCCTGAACACCGGTGGCTCCGGGGAGATCCTTCGCTTGCTTGCTCGCGATCTTGGCTCCGTAAACGGGGGTATATGGCCCCTACTAGCTCTGGTAACGGGTTGGGGGTCTTGTGGACGGTAGACGGAGGGTCCACTTGCAATCATCATGCTCAGATTGTAGGAGAAGGCAGAACCCAACAAACAAACCAATGTCGCGTGCATAGTGCTTAAGTACCCGGCGCAGGCTTGCAGCAGATCCGAGATATTTTAGTTGTTTCCCTCGCCGATCCTCCGCACGGATTGATATTGATGAAAACATCCAAGACCCGAAAGTCGGGATTTAAGGATTGGGGCAACTTTAGTAGTATGCCATGTGGGACTTGGAATGGGAAAATGAGTCCTGTGCAGAGTTCGCATGAGAAGGAAGTTGGCAATCGGGCAACGCGAGAGAGTAGCGTCCAGCAAAATCGACTGAGGCTTCTTCCCCTCAAAGACCTCCATGGCATCGGCTTCGGAATCGAGGGTCCAGGAGAAGTGGTGGCGGCGGTGCCATGAACCCCTACAGTGTCTGCAGCAACGCAACAGAAACGCTCCAGGTGCCTCGTTCGCATTATCCAACAAGCGATTTTGGAGGTTGATCTCGGTTCGGATCATCGTGCTCACCTTGACAGGTTGAATACAGCAATGCCGCACTGCCCCAGGCAAGGACATACGAGCGCAAGCAGAAACACAACTGTGCAAATGAACCGGCACATGCACATCCAGACATGCATGCAAATACGCAAACACACAAATTTGCGTTTTCGGAGAAAGACAGAGACAGACTGACAGGGAGACAGACAGACCGACAGAAACACAGACAGACAGACACGCGGACAGACGGACAGAGAGAAAGAGAGAGAGACAGACATAGAGAGAGAGAGAGAGAGAGAAACAGCTCTATACACATAATGTATGTCATACACTGACATATGTGTATACATGTATATACATATGTATGTGTGTGTCTGTTTTGTTTACTTCTTTCGCACACATGCAGGCATGCCCAAGCGTCACAAGTGCTATCAAAGGTTGAAGCAAACAAAGAGCAAACAATGCGAGCGTCTGCATGTGTCGTACATGACATGTACTTTTTCACATAATTATGCATATACATGTGTCTGATATATATATATATATATATATATATGTATATGTATATATATATATATGTATATATATATATATATATATGTATGTATGTATGCATGGCTGGATGGCTGGATGGCTGGATGGCTGGATGGCTGGATGGCTGGATGGATGGATGAATGGATGGATGGATGGATCGACGCATGGATGCGTGGATGCATGGATGGGATGGGGTGGGATGATGGATGATGTATGGATGGATGGAATGAATGGATGGACGCATGGATGGAGGGATGGGATGGGATGGGATGGGATGGGATGGGATGGGATGGGATGGGACGGGACGGAGGGATGGATGGATGGATGGATGTGTGTATGTGTCTGTATGAGACACATCCCACAAAGAGCCGACTGCAATAACAAACACAGATACCCACCCGGTTGACATGGGTCTCTTTGAGTCCAGTTTTTTCGACAGGGACGACGTAATCAACATGCTGACGCAAAACTGCATTTGGAGTGAGAGCTTCAAGCGTAGCGACATGCGAGCCGGGAGCCAGAAACCCGATCTTTCTCGAGAAGCTTCAAGAGTCCGGGGAAATGTCGCGCTTCGGATCAAACAGCAAAGGGTTTCGGGTTGAGGGTTTTAGGCAAGACCAAGCATCAAACAGAACCTCGAGAACCAACACAAATCCGACGAGCCGAATCTGGACTGGCCTGCTGCAGGTTGTTCACGGAGCCTTCCAGAACCGTCAGCGGCTCGTCCATGTCCCTGAAGTGCGAGACTGAAACTACTGCCACCACTAGAGTATACAGTGCTGCTGTGATGACCAGCTACGGGCACGATGCCGCCATTGCCGCGTCTTAGTTCTGGGCTCGCGTCCTTCATGTCATTACACTTGATATCTGTATCACCCAATGCATTTCGCGACGGCTGAGAATAGATTGTCGTGGCGGTGGGGTTTGGCGGTGTTGGTGGTGGCGGTGGGATCGGTAATGCTAGTGATGGTGCTGCTCGTGCAGATCTTATTGCGTTTTCCACATTACTGTATGTTCTATTCTGAGGAAACCTAGCAGACCCAACGCTAACAAGACTCTTCTTGCTGCAACCGTTTGCAATCACTCCCCTCTAACCCACAACCCCAATTCGTCCAAAGCACGATGCCCCAAACAATGAAGCCCTAAACCCGCTTCATCCCATGGCGGCCTCATCATTTGCTGCTGCCGCTCCAACATCGATCTTTGCGAGACCTGGGTCAGCAACGGATCTGGCGCTGGGGTATGACAATCATGATAATGGCGGTGACAATCCTACGACCCTCAGAAACCCTAAACTTGCAGCTGCATGTTTACTTCTAACAAGGCATTTTGCGAGGAACCCGGCGCTGTCATAAATCTCAGCATGGGCGTTGAATCCCGAGCTGGTTTTTGATTTGTCAATGACAGGACTCCGTGGTTTAGGGTGCGATTGACAGTTTGGGGGTTTAGGATGCAGTATAATGTTTGTACAATACACTGAAAACATAACCTGATGTATCAAGGCACAACATGATATGATACAGGCTTCTGGCTTTCGATTTGGGTCTGGGATTTGTGGTTCAGCTTCGGGTGTAGGGCTTGGTGCTTTAAGGTACAGCATTAAAGAGCGTGGGTGGGAGCTACGCTTTGTCATGTTGATCAGCCCCGCTCTAAGCAAGCAGTGATCTGCCTAAAAGCAAGCTTAGGATAAACCCTCCAAGCTCAATGACCATAGCAACCAGCATCATCTATCATCCACATCACAGTGGAACTGTGACTTATATACATTCTTCCCTTGCGACCAGATTTTCCGATTTGGGAATGGAGGCTTCGCAAAACTCAGGAAATCCAGACAATGCGTCTGGCTACACAAGCTTGCTTCCATTCCGCATTCGGATCTTTTTAACTGACCCTAAGCGCTAAACCTGAACTCTGAACCCCGAAGCGCCGGGCTTTGTAAACAACGCAACCCTGAACCATTCCACCTAGACCTGGTAAAAAGCACCCACACAGGCCGTGCGGCGGGAGCAGAGGGTTTTCAATGTTGAGGTTCGGAAGCCTAGTATTCCTTGGTACTATAGTGACAGAGCCTCCCAAAGAAACCGAAATAGTAGTAGATACCCTGGGATCCTGTCGCCCGGACTTTTCACCTGGTATCTGCGAAATTCTGGTGCGCTCCACCCGAAACCCAAACCCCAAGGAAGCCATGAGCCCCAAAGCAAAAACTCCTAAACACAGACTCTGCAATCTCAGACTGCCACCGGTTGCATCTCAGCACCTCTAGGCAATGCCGGCATTTCTCCCATGGACGTGACTATCTCAAACAGTCGAAGGACGATGGTTCCCTTTTCGTAACCCGGAACTAAAAACCCAAAATCCTCAACCCTGAACCCTAAACCCCAGGGGTTTCATAGACGGAGCGTGGCCTTTGCTTGGTGGGGTTTCTGGTTCTCAAGAGCGCGCAGCCAGCGTTGCGGTCGATCATAAACCCTGATAATACTGAAAGCTCTAAAACACAAATCACCTTGGAAGCCCGAAAACGAGCGCTACACGCCCTTTTCAACCCTAACCACTACCAGCATGTGACAAAACAAACCAAACTCTGAAAGCACTGTACACCCTGCATCTGCCTCCTACCTAAACTCTAAACCCACATTAAAACCCTGAGCCCTAACCACCGAAAAAAAAAAGCACCCTCCTAGACCCTCACTTACACGAACCCTTTAAGGAACCTTTTAGGGAACTCTTTAAGGACCCCTAACCCCTAAACCCCCCCCTCCACTCCCGCCTCGCTCACTGGGTCGCTTGGCGACCTCACCTGCGCACAGGGTTTTACGGGTTTTTTGGAAGGATTCCGACTCGAGTTCTCCTGAAATTCCCAACAACCGTTCCTGTAAGGATTCCTATATTTCTGTAGAACCAGGATTGCGTAAGATAACCGTCTTAGATGGTTTTAGGGTCGAGGGCTTAGGGTCTTGGGTGGTTCGGCTTTGTGGACCTTCGCACGTGGAAGAGGGCTTCGATCCAGGGGTCAGAATTTTTCGCATAGCGTTTTGGGGTATGTTACATATCACGAACCAGAAGTAACAGGATGTATGGGGATGCTGGTGCTAATGATTCGGGGCCCTATACATCAAGTTTCAGGATTGGGCTTTTCAGGGTTTACAGCTCTGTAAGATTTTACTGGTTATCCCGACTCCGACAGTAGCCGCCTGCCTCTATCTGTCTATCATCTTATCTGTTTGCATATTTCTGGACACATGCGCGCACACGCACATAAAGAGACCCTCCAAAATGATCCGAAAAACTCCCATGAGGTCGCGGCCTGGCGCGGGTGATGGCGAGGACTCAGCCGCTTGCGGGCGCTGCAAACGTCGCTGAAGCTCCTGACTTGCGCTTCGATAAGGGGCTTGAGAATGGTTCAGAATTTGGGGTCTAGGGCTTTCACAGCTTCGAGGTTGAGCGTTTGGGTTTGAGAGAGGTGCCGCCGCAACGCTTGGCTGATTGTTGTTCTCCGAGGTTCTTTGCTGTATGTAGTCACTCGAAGTCAATCAGTGGGGCTGTCTTCGTGCCAAACGTCTCCATGGTAGAGCTAGTTTAGCCAATGCCAGCTGCCTGAAAGCTTGAGCTTTTTGAGCATGTGTCAGTCAGGTACAGTCGGCGGCTGCATGCGATGCTCCAAGGAGACTTCACTCATTAGCCATTGGTCAGTGGTTTAAGATTGTGTCCTTGAGTCGCGTTAGATCCTTGAAGTAGCTCCTTGCCTGTTTGGCAGCCGAAACCACAACCCCATGGTGTGACAGCCGTCTCCTGCTGCTCGGTCATGGCCTGTCAAAGCAGAATACATTGTCGAGCCCTTGAACTCTGCACCTTAAACCTAAACTAGTCGTGCTTGTTCCACCTGAAAAGCATCATCAACCATGAACATATTTTCGTCGCATGTCATCATCAACATTCATCACAAACAACATCACGACTACCATTTATCGCCGAGAGGCAACCGTCAAACCCACCGTCATCAGCAATATCGTCGTGAGAAACATTAAATTATCAACATAGTACAGTAATGATGATTTAATCAATAATTACCCTCATCGCTGTAGTGCTGTGTGTTCTTCCTCTCCCAAAAGACTTTTTAGTCCCCCCATCCCGTCAAACCCTGCAAGCTGCACTAATCGTGAACTGCTACATCAGCCTAAACTCGCCCTGCCATCGCGCGAAGGCCGAAAGCACCGCAATTCTTTGCGCGCCTGAATGATGAGACTACGGCTTAGGGCGTGCTGTAGTATGATCAAAGTAAGGCAAACTAAAACAGTAGCACTACTTGTTTTTCCGACCGCTATGAACCGTAATCCTTGAACACTGGGGTTGGATCCCATCTTTTGCACCTGCCAATTAAGTTTGCAGTGGTTTCCAAGCGGAGTCATCCTCTTCGAGTACTCCCCGTGGAAGGCCAGACAGTCAAAGAGTTTGGGATTTAGCTTGAATTTGTCGGGTTCTTCCGTCGGTAGGAAAGCCACAGCAGAAAAGTGTGTTCGGTTTAGGATTTGGTGGTTTAGGCTTCAGGGTTTGAGGGCAAGGGAGTTGGGCTTCAGGGTTTGAGAAATGGCTTCGAGTTTGCGAAGCAGTAAACTACTCCCTAAACCTGGAGAACGACCCCAACCCTACCCCCCAAAGCCCTAAGCCCTAAATGTCACACTAAACCCTTCTAGAACCAAAACTGTTACAAACAAAACTTTGGGACATCAACTTACGAGCTTAGAAATGCTTTTCCACTCTCACGAAGTCCACGTTCCCTTTGGAGGGTTACCTTCACCCTAAAACTTACACAAATGTTGAGCCGGGCTGTTCTCACTCGGCCCACTTCCCCACCTCGGATTGAAGCTAGCAAAGCTTGAGGCTTAAGGTTCAGTGCTCACAGCTTCCAGCTTACGGGGGCTGATCGCAAGCTCTGGTAAGGAAGTCTTAAATCCCTCGGCCCGTAGCCGCAGGGAGAACAGTCCCTCTCACTCTCTGCTTCTGGCTGGGTTTCCCCCCGATGCGGTCTGATCGTCGCCACTCGGCCTTCCAGAGAACCTAAAGGAAGGCCAGGCCTCTGCGCAGCTCCGTCCACACTCACGAAACTTTGGGACTGAGGTTCTGGAATCCCGTTAGTATCGCTGTGGGGCCACTGTTCAACACACGACACCAAAGATCTTGAACTCCGAAGATTCGGGTAATGTGCGGGTTCAGGGTAATATCCTTTTCCGCTCAGTGCTACATCCGAGACCCCGCCGACAAGCTTGTTCTGACTGCGAGTCCCTTGGCATCGCAAACGCCCGACAGTGATGTCTTCTGGGGTTCCCGCTGTAGGGTTTAGAGCCAAAGGTTTAAATATTAGCTTCTATCACGCCAGTGGAGTGATGCAATGGAATTCGGATCATGATCAGACCACATCCACCTTGACTCTCCAAGGTACACTGCGCTTGCAGCACTGCAGGCTACGCCGCATTGAGTGAGATTTGAGAGCTCAAGCCATCTTGGGATATCTTGGGCACTTCATAGAAACCAGCACTGCTTAACAGGCTCTAGCTTTTGGGAGACGTTTCATAGGGACGCTGTGGAGTCGGTCGTAACACTGTGTGTCTCAGAAATGGATGGATTTAAAGGTGTTTCACACGTGCTCATGTATACGGCATGTGCAACTTTATATAATTACGGACAAATGGAAGCCCGTGTACGCGTTGACATATCTGCCATAGTGGTTGTGTCATGCCGTAGGCGATGTTATGTCCATCTGCACATGCACGTGCAGTATGTGGAAACAACCCAGCCCGCTCTTAAGACAAAATACCCTTGCCTGCATGGAAGACGATAGCGCCAAGATGTCTCAATGTTTTCAACTCTACTGTTCTTGCTGCAGACAGCATTACGCCACCTATAGATCCTAAAAACTCACAAAGCCCATAGCAACCCATGTTGCACGAGTATCAACGCACTGCCCTAAGATTTGGGAAGCAGCTCAACAATCCATGCATGGTAGAGCATAATTCCGAGGGGTGGAACACACGGGACTGCGGCGGGATTCGAGATTTCGAAATTACGTCGACGAGCCCCTGAATAGTGTGGCCATGCCACGACTTTCATTTATGCACATTGCTGTGGGTGTCTGCAAGACATGCGTGGCCTGAGACACAATGCTCACTCATCTAGCGCCAAAAACTGGAACTTCTACGCACTGACGGCAAGCTTCCAGGAACAGCAAACTCGCGACATTGCAGTTGTACTTGTCTGAATCCGCAATCTCCTACACCTTCATGAAAGCTCCGTATCCCTCAAGCAACATCAGGCGATCTGCAATTTGATCTCACTACACACTACTGCCTGTTGCCTCCTACGATTACACGACTTTCGCTTGAACCTTCGACCTGCGCATTTGGGAAGCAGGCCGCGTGCCTGTGGCAATTGCCACAGCGCTTGGGCCAAGACCCAAATTGGAGGCATGGGATCACTAGGGCACCAACCATAAAGCCTATGATACAAGTAGCCGCTAAGTAGCCTCTAAAAAATGCTGTTACGGCGTCTGTTTTTAAATACACGGATATATAAATAGGTTAAACAGGTATGTTACACTACCTCCGTGAAACATCGCCAGGGCCCGCCTCGAAATAACATATCCGGCAATTTGCAGATCATTGGTGGGTTTGGGGTTTAGGATTTTGGAGTTTAAGGTTTAAGGGCTTAGGGTTCAGGTAGAAGCCACACCTTTCAACTTTAGGTTCAAGCCAAACCGAGCCAGCCCTCCAGCCTTCCTCAAGCCTTCCAGCCTTCCTCCAGCCCCAAGCCCCAGCCCTCCAGCCCTCCAGCCTTCCAACCTTCCAGCCTTCTTCAAGCCTTCCTCCAGCCCAGCCCTCCAGCCCTCCACCCCTCCAGCCTTCCAACCTTCCAGCCTTCCTCCTCCACTCCAGCGTTCCAGTTTTCCAAACCCAGCCCTCCAGCCTTCCAGCCTTCCAGCCCTCCCCAGCCCTCCAGCCTTCAAGCCTTCCAGCCTTCCAACCCTACAGCCTTCCAGCCTTCCAGTTTTCCAGCCAGCTGGCAGCCTCAAGGCTGGAAGGCTGGAGGCTGGCCTGGGGCTGGAGGAAGGCCGGAAAGCGGGAAGGTTAGAAGGCTGGGAGAGGAAGGAGGCGGGAAGGTTGGAGGGAAGGCTGAAGGGCTGGAGGCTGGGCTGGAGGCAGGCTGGGCTAGGGCTGGAGGAAGGCTGGAGGGAGGTTGGAAGGCTGAGGAAAGGTTGGAAGGCTGAAGGCTGGAGGGTTGGGGCTGGAGGAAGTGAAGGCATTCCAGCCTTCAACCGCTCCAACCTTCAGCCCCTCCAGCCCAGCCTTCAACCCCTCAAGCCTTCCAGCCTTCAACCCCTCCAGCCCTAAACCCCTTCCAGCCTTCAACCACTTCCAGCCTTCAACCCCTTCCAGCCTTCAACCCTCCAGCATTCCAGCCTTCACCTTTTAAAACAGATCACGTCATACTGGGATTTAAATATACGGATTTAAACAAATATTTCATACTACCTCTGCGGCCATTGCGGCTGGCTGGGCCCCCATATATTTAAAAAGCGTCACCGTACTCTCTGTTATACAAAATCCAGGTCGCCGATTAGAGACCGGAAGGCCCAAGACCATGAACTGAAAAGGCCTTGAAGTTTGTCTTGCCGACAATAGATGAACTGCAAAGGTCTGCGGCCGACGGATCAGGTTTCGTAGTTGAGGATTTGGGCGCCATCTAGGGCTTGGGGGTTGAGGCCAAAAGGGCTACAGTGGCTACAGGGCTTCAAGTTTGAGCAGACATCTCAACCCACTCAGGGCCCTGAAGACACCCTCGAAAGCCTCAACCGCTTGACCCTAAACTCTAGGTGATGTCTATCAGAGCACTTGAGCTTCTTCTTCTCCTTTCGGGCGAAACCCTAACGGCCCTGACGTCTAAATACACCCTACATGCCTAGGACACGGGCGCCCAGCGAGTCCCTTAGCTCCTCTGTGCCGGCCACTTCTTCAAGACACTCTTTCGAGTGCCCATGTTCGCTTTGTAGCCTCCGGGGCTTGGGCCCAGGGGTTCGGACCCGGGGCTACAGGGGATTCGGATAAGCCTGTCTAATACAGCCTGAACAGCTGGGGGATTGTGTTGAAATTAAGGCTTCCAAGCCCTTGCCCTTGAAACTGGAGAAAACTTCTTGGGGTTTCCTAGCATAACGGCCTTGCCTGAGGTACTGTCTTAGCCTTCACAAACGGACAGGGAATCTCGCCAGGCGGGCGAAGAAAAAGATGTCTACAAGCTTTGGTTTCCAAATTGGCTTTAAAGCTGAGGTGTTGGGTCAAGAGCGTGGGGCTGTCCAGAACCTGACACGTGCCAACTTGCAAACCAAAAGCCAATGAACTCCGTTAAACACTTAGAGTCGGGAACTCAAACTTGAACCCAGCAACCTCAACCGCAGACCCGAAATTCCCATGTCTGAACCCAAAGCGAAGCTCAGGAACCATCGAAGCCAACAACAACCCATGCCAGGACCCTTCCGTGTTTAGGGGTGCACTTGAGGGTTGAGGACTTAGACATCATGGAATTGGGGGTTTGAGGTTGTTTTGGCTGTTGCCAGGGCTGAAACGGGCTCGAAGGATTGGGGTCCTGGGCCAAAGGAGGCTGGCAAACCAGACTCCTGAACACAAACGTCGGAAACCCTAATTCCATTCTGAGCTATCCCTTCAAGAAGACGCCACGTCAATTTGTGCGTGAAAATGGCCCTGAGGAGCCATGCGCTGAGAGTTCAGGCATGTTATGAGAGGGTACGAACCTTAACACCG